CTTAACATCCCTCGAAACTGGCGTGCAGCGTATAAAGGCTAACCCTCAAGTCATGGGCTCCCTAATTCTTGTGTCAAAGACATTACTGGACCATGGATCGCACTCAAACAAAAGCTGACATAAATGCTCGAAAAGATTCGAATTGTACATTATCACAACCTCCCCTTGTGTCATTTTTACGGCATGGCTTGACTCGAGGACTCTTCGATTGAGACTCAAACCAATTGGTTTCACTATGCTTCACTCTTCTCATTCCCAAGGGCCGTCCACCCCTAGTAGGGAGCCTCTAGTAGCGTCTTGTTACTAGTAGCGATGCCAGGAGCTACTAGTAGCGATGCCCTTTGCTCCTAGTCGTGATGCCAGGAGCCTTCTCATGCCAAGCGACCCTTTTGGCCTTGGGCTTCTTCGCACGCTCTCTCTTTGGCCGCTCACCCACACACGCCGCCGACCCACCGACCGGTGAGACCGGCACCGTCTCACCGCTCTCGCGGCGCGCACCGCGAGACGGTGAAAGAGTCAGGGTGAGGCTGTAGCAGCAAAGAGTCAGGGCACAGCCGCCGGCAGCAAAGCCGACCTGAGAAATGCTCTTAAAGCATCTGAAAGCTAAAATCCTGGTGGTATATATATATATATATATATAGTTGTGGGATGTTGTGGGCGGTTTGAAGAGACTTGCAGCCTCACAACACCTGGCCTTTCAAAACACCTATGTATACATATGTTTCAACCTATGTATATGTCAGCGATGCTGAAAGGGCTGAGATGTTACTACTAGTAAGGCACTTGTTACCAGCAGCGAGGCACTTGTTACTAGTAGCGATGCTGTGATTTGAACGTTTTGAAAGTGCTTTTTCTGGTTTGGAACTTCAGTGCGAGTCTTAATGCTTCGTGGCAGTCCACCCCAAAAGCTGACTACTAAACCTTCAGGCCCATATAATCCAACAATAGCCAACATGCAATCGTATGCAGCATGAGGATGTGTTAGCTAGGGTGCTTGGATGTTCCAACCATGAACATCCTGCACGGTGTCTTCACCTCTGAAAAGGGCATCTAATATGATGGCCACCATCCCCCTTCAAAGCTTGTTCAAAGCACATTGCCTCACCGAGCAGCCACCAGCGGCAGTATCAATTCCGACACCCACACCGCCGCATGCGTCGCGACATCACTCGTGGTGGTCGTGGCAGTGGTGCCACTTGGCACTGGTGCTGGGTGGGTAGCAAAGACGCGGGCGACCACCTAGGAGAACGAGGCAAGTAATAGAGTCTTGTTTGAACCTGTGGATTCTATAGCTTGCAGCCTGCAGGGGCTTGTAAATTCTGAATTGCTGCAGTTTGGGCAGCATTTGGCAAGCCGGCATGTCAAGCTTGGCATTGAAGGATGCCAATGTCTGAAACCTGAACCTGAGTATGAAACAAACACCAAAGCCGATCTGCACCAAAGCCACACAAGGCGCTCTGGACTCCGTGCACGACGGCGCCAGTCGTAGGATCTGCTCTACGGAGCAGTCTCCATCCGTCGACGTCGACGTTGTACGCCGCTCGTCGTTGCAGGCGGCGCAGTGGGCGGCGCAGCAGGCGCGGCTGCGGCTGTGGAAGAGGCCAAAGTGGCAAGCGGGATCGCTCGCGTAGGGCTTCCTGAAACATCAACTGCGATCCCAAAAGGGGATTTGGAACACGGGTGAAGCTCTACTTACTCTACTCTACTTGATCTTGGACCGGCCATCAATCCTACCTTCCGCTTCCGCTGAACAAATGACCGACAGGAGCTTTGGCTGTGTTCGCCTTAGTTGAATGACATTCCGGTTGCATCTCAAAACAGTCCAAGTTGCAGGCACGCCAGCATGCTGTGATTCTGCGGGCCAATTCTTTGACAGGTCCCACTCTCAATGATGCCGCCAGCTGCCGAGAATGAGCAATTTTGGCCCTGGCCAAGCGGCGATTGGACATTCTTGTGGGACCTCGCAGAACAACTAGTAACTAGTAGCAAGAAGCTAGTAACAGGTGCATCGCTACTAGAAACAAGAAGCTACTAGTAGCAAAGGGCATTGCTAGTAGTAGCTCCTCTCCTAGTAACAAGGGCATCGCTAATAGTAGCAACAAGCTACTAGTAAAATCCACAGAAGTCTGAAACGAAACTAGTCGAATACGTCAAAATATACCCTAGGGCTCCCGGTGGCTCTCTTCTGGGCTGAAACAAGCAAACATGGGTGATCCTCAATAACAGCCGGACCGGAGAGGAATCTGTGAGGAAAACCCTGCTGTGCTCGCAACGGACTCCCTTCCTTCCAACTTCCCTCCCTCCCTCCCTCCCTCCCTCCTCTGGCTGCTGGATACATGCATCGATTTCCCTTTGTGCGCTCACCGCGTACAACGAGGTGCACATGGCAAGGAGCACCCTCATGCGAGTGCCCCCGGCGGCGCATGGTGACGCCCAGGGGCGGGGCCATGTGATGTCCGGCGAGTCACCTCCAAGTCAGGTGGACCCATCACTGAGATTGATGCTAGCCAGTCGAGGTTGAAGACCTTCTTAAGAACCAAAAATGATGGAACCGTGTCAAGTAGCCTTGATAGCAACCTACGTCACCCACACCTCTTGGTTGTTTGCTGAGGGAGACATCAACCCTTGAATGCGGAAGTTCATTGATGGAAGAAAGTTGTAGACATCTGCCAACGAAAATCCAGCTTCAAGAGCAAGTTAATATCTTAAGAATCACTCAGATGATTTAGGATGATTTAGGGTTCGTTGCGTGTGAAGAGTGGTGCCGTACGTAGTGTCTAATCTGAGGCTCAAGTCCTCCATCTGATTCTGAGGCTAAGGTCCGTGGTTCGTTGTAATGGTCTTCTGCTACTCACTGCGTTCAGCGCTACATGACCAGTGCAAACGAATTCTGCTGTCTGAGAAATGATCAAGCGCCAAGGACAAAGGTATGATCTCAAAGATTCCGTCAATCAAGACCTCTTGGAAGCTGCATGGGGTTTTAAGGGTCACCGTATTCAATGAACCTGGCTTTTCAATTGTGCACTGTATTTTTGAGTGATTGTCACACAGCCTCATGAATGCGATGTTCTTTACAAAATGAGGACCTTGGACCTGCCTCATCTGTTCAATTGTTTGAGGCTGAGAACAGGAGGCCACCTGAAATAGACATATTTATATAACATATGTTTCTACTAGCTTCTTGTTACTACTATAAACATATTGTATGTGTCATAAACGTCCCCAAAGTACCGCACCGCAGAAATCAAAACGACGAAGTCGACCGAACTCCCAAAAACACCAAAACACCCATTCGAGACTTCCCGGAGAACCCGACTTCGACCACTGGTCGACAGACCAAAGGGATCGGTTTTGCGTGTTTTGATACATACACTCACCCCAAACAAGAATTAACAGTAAATTTAAACTATAACTAAATTCTATAGCTTCTTGTTACTACTAGCTTCTTGAACCCTCCCAAAACTACGCATGGATTCAACAAGAATGTATCTACTGTGTCTCCATGTTGCTCCTATCCATCGTTCCTATTCCTCTCCAGATATCCAATCTTTCCGGACCATTGTTTTTGCCGCCCGCAGACTTGCTTTTGGGTCTTGCGCCATAACGAGACTCAGGAATTGGCTCTGAGCACAGCCCCGGGGCGCGCGACGTCTTGCTGCGATTCTTTGTTTGTTCTATCTGCTTAAGGATGAGTTGGGGGGGAAGTTCTCTAAGAATCTGAAGAGTTCCCAAGTTCGCAGAGGAGGACCTGAAGACCTTCAACTATCATTGGGGACCTGAAACAGAGATATTCTCCTCACCACAATCCAAGGCGGAACAGGTAGCTTGGGGAGCCGTCAGAAGATGTTGAAAGCATGTTGATGGTGTTTGATGGACCTACAGCCTACAGTGATGTTCATTCGGTCTTTCCATCAGAAGCTCGGTAGCCTTCAGAACACTGAGTTCAGTAAACCTTTAAAAGTCCAATGAGCCAACCCTCATCTCCAGTAGCCTTGAAGGAAGATGACGGTGGTTTGGGCACTTCACTAGACATACACTCCCTGAAATAAGCGTGGATGATCATGCATGGCATGCCCGAGTTCGGATGAGGAATTATTTTCCTTTGCCAAAGAGCACTTCCATGGATAAATCCAGGGAATGTCGTGTTTTCGTGCGTCCTTTCTTCAGCCTCTTAAGAGTTGGTATGAGTTATCCGAAGGGTTGCCGGTCTCACTATTTTGCCTCCAAAAACGGAAAACATCAATCAATACATGGAAGCTCCCAACGCACTGTGGGTCTTGACCCTACATCTTTCGAACCATAATCATAGCTTTATCCTTGTGGAACTCCTTGTCGATTTACCTGAGCTCCCATGCCGCGTCTGCCCCTGCTGCACTCGCTGCCATCCTACCTACACCGTCTGTCCCTGTGGCTGCTTGATTTTGGTTGATGAAGGGCACATAGCTTTTGCAATGTTCTCGTCGATATATTTGCAATAAATAGTCTGACAACACCTTGGAGTGAGCAGGATTTACTCTTTCCTGCAAATTGTTGTTCCGTTGCAACAAGAAAGCAATTATCAAATTACATGTAACTAAAATTCATCTAGTCTTCTGCGAGCTGTCCCAAATGTGAAATTTCGCACTTGCTTCTTCCACTCCATGTATGGCATACATCGGCAGCAAATTTTCCATGCATGGAGTGCATTGGTTTAGGCCTTCATACGTGACCTAGTGTCTGAAGAACATCATTTTGCTTTGCCCTAAAGAAAGACCTATAGGCGAAAGCATCAGGTTCTGTGTCTTTTTGGAATCACTTGGCTTTGGAGGCTTGTAGTACCCCGACCACCCTCCCAGAAAGGAACCCAAAACTCAAAGGAACATGGCTGACTCCACCCAAAAAGACAAAGAACCTGCTATAGGTTTTGGAAGACACTCGGTCTTGACTCTTCACCCACCACAACACAAGGACCCAACCTCTTTCGCTCGGAGTGGCGGGCCCAGAATCGTCTGGACCGGCCGTCAGGTCGGTGCCGACTTCATCATCGCCGTTTGCGGCAAGGTCTCCACGTCCACGCTGGCCATCATCCTGAAGTGCGACCGGTCTCCACGGGTTTGCTTGCCTAGTAGCTGAATGCAAAAGAACATATACGTGTACCAAGCATCTCATCAGACTTCTGCCGCCAGTCCGGGTCGTTTTTGAAGCCTCCCAAGAAGGCACGTGCATGGCGCCGGGGGGACGGGCACGATGCTTAAAGAAAGGTGTGAGATCTGGGATGAGACACCACCCGGCCTGTTTCGCATGCTTCTTGGATCATTCCATGGGATCATGGAATCCAGAAAATGCTTCATGAGTCTAGTCTAGAAAACACCTCATTCGACATCTTTCCACAGCCACATCTTTCGCGATGGCCTCTCCAACCTAGTAGCAAACATTGCTACTAGTAGCGATTGCCTCGACTTGACGCATCCATCCGGACATCCCTCCGTCAAGGCACCAAAGCTGGGATGCCAAAAGTTCGCCAAGAGGACGACCCGATCACCTGCAAGCTTCGGTCAGCTGAGTTTCCCTACTCTAGGAACCAGGCGGCGGGGGGGCAGCTTCCTTGAAGAAGCGTGAGCTATCCTGCGTCCTGTCAGTAGTAGCTACTTGTTAGCTACTAGCTATCTGGAGTTTTGAGCAAGCGGACATGTAGGAATTTGGGGGGGAGTTCATGAGGTTGTGTCGGGTCTTACTACTAGGCTTAGGTTTCACTTGGAGAACTCTTACGTCGTCAAGAAGAATTCTACAAACCACTAAGGGATTTATGTGGGTTTCTAGTTACTTCCCAAGTGGTGCAGCTCTCATGCCAATCTTTCTCGGGCGTTAAACCCATCTTGTCATTGGGTTAGATGATGTTAGATGAAATCTCTTCCTGCTCACAACACGGCACATTGAGATCATTCTCACGAGACTAACCCAAAGAAGACATTGTTTTTGGCCTCCCAATTGAGGTTGGAAACAGGATATCCACTGCCCATGCTGACCACGCTTATGGCAAATTCAGGGTTTCTCATCACACGACGACAGGTCCAAACATCTTTGCCACCAGCGCTGGCAGGCACCAACGACCACTTCGGTAGATGGTTCCACTACAAACAGGTGGTTTATGGTGGTGAACTCCAGTTCTATAGATGATTCCAGGGAGTGTACAAGCAGCGCCAACAAGTGGTTCTTTTTGGGGCCAACCAATTTCCGTTTTTACCTCCCAAGCGGTGGAACGTTTTGCATTTCCATGTCGCCACAGTAGGCTTCTGAAGGACCGCATTCCGCGAAAACCACCTGAGCGGTCTCAGATTTCCGGTGCACTGCTCGGGCCGAAGGGTGGGGGGAGACGTTTAGTCGGGGACTCCTTTTCGTGGTTCTTTCTTAAGGAAATGGTTGGATATGCATTGGATATGCATTGGATATGTTTATTCTGGCTTGTTGGAGCATTTGTGACACCGACCATTCCTTGGCAGAAAAAACCCTGTGAGAGGCGTGGCCACCCTAGTGAGATGATCCTACACCTCCCTTCCTCATGCTAACCCTTCCCATTCGAGTCGCACGACCCCTGACGTCAGTACTCAAGGTTATCCTCAAAACTGAAAACCGAGACGGCAAGCCGACTGATCTTCCAAGGAGCGTTTTAATATAGTGGCGTATATTCTTGTTTATATTTTTTCGACCAACTGATCTAAAGTCTCGAAATAGCTCCTTCAGGAGTATTGCAAGAACAAGGGTTCCCCGAAAAACAAAGAAGAAGTTATATAAATAACAGATACCTCCAACCAGCAGACACCACCACGACTCAGCTTTCTTGGCTCGACCCACCTCGTGCTCGAAGGAGTCATCGAAAACAAGGCATTTCCCTTCCTGGCCGAGTTTTGCAGAGCAGTCTGACCAGTTTGCCTTTTCTATTCTTTTTCACATGTGAGATCCAGCTCTTCGAAGGCTTCTGTTCTTGCCGGACAACGCATGACCAAAGAACAAAAACCGCGGATGACATGGGTCAATGATCGTGAATTGATGCCAGTTGCTTCTTTCCGAACAATGCCAAACGCACCCACCGGGTGGTGCCACTGCGCGACTGGTGAAAAACCGCCACCGCTACCGCGCCGGGTGCGAGCGCCCGTGGGGCCTCCCATCCTCGTCGCGCTTCGGAGCCCACGCGGAGGTAGCAGCCCTGATCGCAGCTCTTCGGGACCTGAACCACGCCGGTCGAGACATGTGAGGGCAACCAGACATGTTTCCGCAAACATCGGTTGCACAGCGGTTCCGGAAAAGAGATCCAAACATGCATGTGCTCTGAACATATACCAAAATCATCCAAGACATTCACAGTCTTTGCATGTCTTGACAGCCAAGGGAGTTCTTTTTATGTGTCCCAAAAAAAGGGTTTGGGTTCATGCTCTGTACCCATCGGTGCAGATTCTTGAAGCGCCAAGCCACCCGTATGGCCAAATGGCAGGTCAGCCGGGCGTTGCTGGGACCGCAGTGAGGTCTCAGGCGAGTACCCGGGGTCAAGACGCCTTGGCAACTGAGTTGGCTGTGCGTCATGAAGGCACTGCGATACGAACTAACTATCATGTTACCCTGTTTCTGGGTCCATGTTCAATGAGGTTTCTGCCAACATATGCATTCAAGAGTATTTAAGTATCAATTAATTGAAGCGATTAGTAGTAAGTACTTATTATGCGTCTGTAACTCTAACTATAGTATGAATGGAACAGTTCACCTGGGGATGCTCATTTACCGGCAGTCATTAGCTTATATAGGAGGTCTCATTGAACAAGTATTTGTTCAACCAGTCTGTTGAGACATGTGGTCAAACCCCCATGAAACTTAGAACACCACAGCACCACAAAAGTACAGGATCCAAGAGGTGTCTTTCGCTCCGACTGAAGCTTGCCACCCAGCATCTCATACTAATCACAACTTACTACTAGTAGCAAGAAGCTACTAGCTAGGAGGCCATCGCTAGTAGGGGGAGGTAACAAGAAGCTGCTAGGACCCTAGGAGCTAGGCACCTTAATGCACCTTACAACTTAACCCTTGCCAAAGCGCTGAAGATCACGTCGCCGCCTCCACAAAAGGCCAAGCCGGTGGCATCGGCACAGGACTGCTGGAGGATCCGGGTGGTCTCTGGGAAGAGGTCCTCGATGCATGTCGTGGCTGGAGGTCATCAAACGGAGGCTGTTCAGTTTCGGTGTAGGGCCGACTGACAAGATGAGACATGAAGGGGACTGAACAAGCGGTAGGTTTCAAGAACAACCTTAGAAACATGAGATGAGGGACATGAGCAAAATTACTTCATCAGGAATGAAGGTGGTAGGTCTCATTATCCTTTTCAGAATTCATGCACATGGCTGACATGGCTTTGGAATGCTCTCCAAGCTAAAGGCGCTTCAGGATGTCATCCAAACAGCGCCCGAAGTCGTGGTGGACACGGAATCACGAGTGAATCTGGCAGGTTGAGTAGAACTGACCATCCAGGCAAAGCTCTTTGTGATTGATGTTCTCCGGGGTTTCAAGCAAAAACATCCTAGTATGTGTCGACATCCCAAGTTTGCAGATCAAATGCAAGAGGGAACCCTCTTGAACGCCCCAGCAGAGCAACCTCGAAAGGCTCCCAGAAAGGAAGCCAAACCTCTCACGAAATCTGCAGAACAAAAATGTGTCTTTCCTGATGAGATGCTCATGACGACAAGAACCGCCGTGACGCTTTGGAGGCAGTGAAACATAGCTCTCCGCCAGCTTGCGGTGAAAAACATGCAAAAGGACGCTGTTCGATGAGTTCGTCATAGTTAATCCATGTTCATCCACCTGTCCAAGAGCGTTGCCTTCATCTTTTTCAAAAACTCATTCCATCGCTAGTAGTAACAAGTGCCTTACTAGTAGTAACAAGAAGCTATTAGAAACAAGTGCCACGCTACTAGTAACAAGTGCATCGCTAGTAGTAACAAGAGGCACCTGTACTCCCCGCAGCGTCCGAGGTGCCGTGTACTCCCGCTGGATGGTGCAGTTCGTGAAGAGAGGCACCTGCAAAAGCCCCTCGGGCGACTCCCAGTGCCTTCTCTCGGCGCGGTTGAAACCATCCATCAGTTCAGTGCCCCGTGCTCACTGTGCTGAGTGAGCCTATAGTCACTTCTTTCTTGGGCTCAGTGCGTCAATCCCCCGCCTCATTGGTCTTGATTTGTCTTTATTCTATTTGCTTTAAGCCAGCTTCCTGTAGGTCCCGCAGTTGGCGCATGACCCAAATCAGAATGAATAAATATTGGCAGAGATTGTGAAACGACCGCCAAACCACAGGGCCAACGTTGTCATGTTGGACCAACTCAGCAGAAGCAAGTTGTTTTGCTCAGCGGCTTCATGAACTCCTTTCTTGCACTCTTGTGAAAGTGCTCGAACTGCCACATTTTACACATACAATCTTCACTAGCTAGGAGTATCAAGGACCAACCAAAACTCTGATGGGCTATCCACCTCTTCCCTGATGATGCTTCGCAAAGCTTAGGATTCGTCCCCAAATTGAAGGAACACCACCAACCAAATCCTGGAGGCCATCGCTACTGGGTTTCTTTCGCGGCCAAAAACTTTTGAGCCCCAGCCATGCCAGACTCAATACGGCCATTTTCCTTTCCTTCAAGACAATCTTTGGCACCCTAAGAAAAAGACATACGAATTATAAAAAGCAAAACGATATATGAAAAACATATAAAGAAGCAACAAAAACACACAAAATAAACATCCCATGTTCTTTTTTGAGGGCAGGACTGACCTTTGCTGGACTTGGCGGCAACAAGACCTGGACTCCGTTGACGCCTCCTGCCACTTTCCCGACTTTCGTAGACCGCCGTCATGGAGCGCCCCTGGGCGGTTTCCCACGTCTCCTGGCATGAGGGCGGCGGGTGGAAAAAAAGGCGTGGAAAACCCCCAACACACATCCCTCAGTTTTTGCACTCACAATGGCCTCCAACCTAAAAGCGATGGCCTCAAACTTCACCCTCCAAAAAACGCCCCCCCGACGCCCTCCGCCCGTGCTCGCGCAGCGCACCTAGCCCTGGCGTGGTGTCGGACTCGTCCCAGTCTTTCCGACTCGCCAGCTTCGCTCGATAGGCCTTTCTCGCTCCGTCCGGTCGCCGTTCGTTTTCTCTAACTAATAGCTTCTAGCTTCTTGTTACTACTAGTAAGGCACTTGGTACGAGTAGCGATGCACTTGTTACTAGAAGTTTTTACCGAACCAACGAAATCGATTTGCTGATGGTCCGCCTATCGTGTTTTCATGGCTGCAAACATGAAAGAAACTGGAACATCCTGGTGTCGTTAGCGGCCTGGAAAGCAGCACCCAGTGCACTCGTGTACTACAAATAGAAGTGTACTACACTACAAAGATAGATCTCGATCGGATGAGCGAACAATTCTGGATTTTGGAATGTCATCCGGAGGTCATATGTTGTCTGAATCTTGTCGAACAATATTGCATATATCTGCAAACTCAAAGCTTATTGAGGTTTCCAAGTGCTTCCAACTAACTAACCTCTGCAAACATCTCCCGAACACCTTTAAAATCAATGCACCCAATAAACCACGTTCTGGATGCCTCGTACTCCCCGCGGATGGTGGGGAAGTTGGCCTCCAAAGCCTCAGGAGAGAAGCACTGCAGCGAAGCCAAGTCCGAACAGGATGCAAACTGCCACGAGAATGCCCGGGACGGTGTTTCACTAGGATGGAGGCCATCATGGTTTCACCTTCTCCGCGGCACATAAACCTGGTAGATGGCCCTCCACTTCGAAACCTGGCAGATGTATGATGGACGGAATCACGGCCCACCCTGGGGCCGCAAACACTGGTTTTGGATCTTGAAACAGGTCACTAGCACAGTCCAAGCGCTGGGCAATCTGGTCATTGAAATCTGAACTTTCCAAACTAAGATTTACTACCTCGGACCTGTGTCGGTGGGATGGCTTGGGGGTGTACAGGGGACCTGACAGTGTGTCCTTTCGAAATCAATCCTTTGGTTGGAAGGTCTTGGTGGAAATAGACTCCAAAACAATCCAAAACATGCAGAATACACCCTGAAACAAATGAACCTTGCCACTGAACCTGACCTGCTGAAATCATTCGCGCGCTCACCCAACTTCTTCACAAAGTCCTCCTACTGCGACCCCATCACCTTGGACACCTTCGACCCACACCCGTCCACCCACACAGACCGATCAAGCGACGAAGCAACGGGTCAACCGACCAACTCTTCCGCTCTTGGGCTTCGGTCTCAAGCCCAAGCTCGCCCAAGCAGGGCTGTCTTTAAGATTCCAAGAAGTTCCTCCATCACCATGCCCAAACACACCCAAACACTCCATTGTTATTTACCTACATTTACCCCTCTACCACTCCAACGTAGCCTTACACTTCAACCAAAGAGTCCATACACGGAGTGTCGATCTGCAGCTGTTCTTTGTTTTTGCCCAAGTGGCGCGTGACAATTCGAAGTCCTTGCTCTCATGGAAGGGCTTCCTGAGAAAGTGTCAGTGTTGGATCGAAGAAGAAAGTCCAAACAACCAAGACCTTCAGGTTTTTGGGATGGATCCAAACCAAGGCTCTGACCTGGGAAACATACGACTGCTACAAACCGGATCTCCCAAAGGATGGAAATGGACTGGCCGGCCACCTGGAGACCGCATTTCCACCTTAGTGAGCCAGACTCTACCCATATATGTGATTTGGTGAGGTTTATCTTTTTGCACTTGGATCTTTCAGCTCGATCCTCTTTGCCTCCGCCCAGAAGGGACGGCAGGGTTGACCCGATCGAATCCAACGAGCAAAAGACATCACCGTTGTTCCGTAGCTGAACATCGTCCACTTTTTCTTTGGTGACCCTACGGTCACCTAGGGTATGGACCTCACTCGATTTCATGACACTTTTTTGCAAACGGAACACCCTCACTAGTAGTAACAAGTGCCTCACTAGTAGTAACAAGTGCCTTACTAGTTGTAACAAGGACGCTACTAGGAACAAGTGCATCGCTACTAGTAACAAGTGCCCAAAAACATCTCATAACCAAGGTGGAGAACCCAGGCCCTGCCCAGACCCCAGCTCTTCGATCTGTGGTGGACTCCGAACTTCACCGTTTTCGGGTTGCGTCCCCCCAAAAAAATAGACATACTATTAAAGATCTTGACCTTTTAAGTGGGGCATTCGCGAGACCTTCACGTGGCTTAAAATAGCTCAATTTGCTTTCATTTGGTGATTGGTCACTGGTGGGAGAAGCTCCTGGCAAGAGAACGGGCATATTCAAAAAGGAGCTTTCACCATGTATTTTCTTTGTAGATCTTCAGAACCTCCAGCTGGTCTTTTTGATTCTTTTTGGCTAATCTGTTTTTTCTTTGCAAATCTTGTTCTGTGAATGTGTTTATCCTTGCTCAAGTTGCACTTGCAGCGTGGTCACCCTGCTCCCGTTCCCAATACATCCCCTCCATTCGAGTCACGCAGGGAGGGAAGGAACAAAATGGGGCGGCCGCTGCCACTTGGTGTACCAAATGCCATTCTTCACCTCGAGTCTCCGATTCCGTGAACCGTTGCGACGGACGAGCGCGAGGGGTTGAGAAGCGGGGAGAGCTAAGGCTGCTAAGCCGGCCCCAAGGTTGGGAGGGAATTCCGATTGCAAAATTGACAAACTCCATCCCATATCTCGGAGAGTTCTCCTTTCTTCAAGGCCCTACACCCCGTTTGATGATAGTGCCTATGCACATGCTGAAGACTCAGTTTTTGTTGATTGCCTCTGTTTTGGATCAGTTCAAGGGGTAGTTCTTTCCTGAACAGCTAGTTTTCAAATAAAGAAAGTCCAGCCATGTCCAGCTGATCATTGTGATCAACCCCAGAACGAGAGCAATCCCTGGTCGCAGCAGGTCTTCCTTGGTTTTCGAGCGCAGCTTTCTATGTGCAGCAGAAGCTGCGGGCAGAAAGACCTGCGCGCACTTCAAGGGCAGCATGTACAGTTGGCCAGCGATGCAGTTTTGGACCAATCACTCCGGCGACAACCTGTCGTTCTTGCCGTCCCGTCCCTCGTCCCTCCCATTCCGAGAAACCGCCGCAATGGCCAGTTCGTGCACGTCCTCATACCAATTGGCCGGCCTCGCATCAAGTAGAGTCTGGGGACACACCAGTGATACCGGTTGGTCCAACGAGAGGTGTTTGCTCTTTCATCCAGCCTTTTGGTGTTTGGATGTAATTACTTGGAGTGCCTGATGAAGTCGCAGTTGGTGTATTGGCCACCACGTGATGGGCTGAAACAACGCTCATCAGAACCTGCATCGTTTCAGTCGTGTTAATGTTACACGTTTGTTCTACAATGCGAGGGATTTCGACATCCTACACCCGACCCTTATAGGTTGGATGTAAACAAGAATTAGAAATCTCATGCTGGCATCTGAATGTCCAATCCGCTGTCTTTGTTGATTAATCTCCAACATCGAACTTGAAACGTGCACACTCTCAAAGGATCTATCAGGCTGGAGGCCATCGCTATTAGGTGTGTTTTCTTTGACTTGTTTCTATTCCAGCTGGGAGGATCACTACTACACCGATCCCTACCCTCCGATTGACAGAGCACACGAACCCAGCTCTGTCGAAACAGCCCATGGCTGAGGGGGGTTCGTGTCTTCCTCTCTTACCACAAGCACTTTGAGTCATATGGACACCAATGGTTGTATTCATCCCACTGTCTCCCTGTAGATGATGACTGCTCCTATTTTTAGGCTCATCTCCACCCTGTAACCAAACATACCACAAACAAAACTCCCGCTTCATCCCACCGAATCCCTTTTCTTCTCACCCAAACCAAGCACCCTCCATCAGCCTCCGCTGATCTTGGTGCCCGGGCTCGTTCCTCTCAAGACTGCCGATGAGGTTGATGTACGCCGGCCGTTGCTTCGGATCTACCTTGAGCGATCTCCGGTAGTAGCCTGCAGGGAGCGCTGGGCTAAGTGGCCTCTGGACAATAAAGGCAAAACGCTGTAGATTTGATTTTGAGAGACCACCTGAAAATGTGGCCAAGACATGGTAGAGAATCCCCTTTACTGGATCATGCACTCGCCACGCACCAACACTATCCCAGTTTTCATGGCGTAGGTGTAGGGCCAGTAGACCAACTGGCACATGACCAACTGGCACGCTAATGTCAAACCGAAGAAAGCGCTGATTGTTCCAATTCTAATTCTTGTTCCTAATAGCTTCTTGCTCCTAGTAGTAAGGCCAGGAGCCCCGTTCGTAGCGTCCGATCGCTCCTAGTAGCGATGCCCTTGTTCCTAGTAGTGTTCTCTACCATAGTCATCATTCAGAGTTGGGGGTTCTGGTCACAGCTCACCTGAAGATACGCATCGGAATGTATTTTCTCCCTCTCGATCAACACTTAGCTTGTGAGGGATCACTGAGCAAGAACCGAACCGTTCGATCGAAACGAGATGGAACATGTTGGACTTCAATCACATCTTCAACATGTTGACTATGGATTGATGTTGATTTGGCTTGTTTGACTTCGATCACTTCCTTCTTTTTGATCCATCAACGGATATCACGCGTCTACAAGAAATCTTCACTAAGTCACTATGCAGTCATAAAAACAACTAAGTGCAGCATCTTCATCCCAATTTGGACCGTGCCGTGATGTGGCTGTCGGTCTTTCCACATGTCACCAAGGCACTGATGGCCGCGCGTGAGAACAAGGAGCAGTACTGCTCTACAGGGATGATCCTCAGCTCTACAGGGATGATCCTCAGATCTTTCTCATCCAATCTTATTGTACCTGGACCATCCAATGGGCATTCCAAGGAAAACATCTCTAAGTAGTGTAGGGTAGTCCATTGGCCATTGGACACCCATTGGATGGTCCTGATAGGAGTGGGACGTTGTGGACGGAAGTTTCCATTCATCTGGATGTTCTGCACACCAATCTTGGAGTGTCTTGGACGCGATGGCATGCACTCTGCAAGAAAACTATTTACTATGTATTATCTATCTTTAGTGTCTGGCGTCCCACAGAATTTCTCGTCCTTTCTGTTTCCAAACATCATTTCACAAAAAGAACACATTTCGGGAGCTCTACGGCAGGTTCGCATGCAAAGGATCACCACGTTCGTCCCTTTCGGGGCACGCGCCGAGCTGTTCATCGAGCGCTTTATCGCCAAGGCGCTTCGCCTGTGATGGCTCCAGAGCTGGCAACTTCGCAGTGCTGGCACCCCCGAACTTCACCTTGTCGCACCTGGAAGAGCAACAAGGTGCGAAGCTGTCCAAGCGAAAATCCAGATATGAGCCGTGTTTTTTCTTCCTTTTAGAGCGAATTATAGCTAATTAGAGTGCCTGCTATACATGTTTGGTGAGTTGCAGTCTAATCTAAGTTTTCTCATTAGTTTAAAGAGACTACACTCATATGGGGGAAACATCACCCAAGCAAGCCAAGGGGGAACATCGGAGGATGGACAATAAGAAGCGCGGCTGAAATGGGAGGAGGAACTTGGGCGAAGTGGAAGGTTTTTCGACCCCTTGTAATTCAAGGACGCAATTGCTACTAAGAAGACTTAGAAATCAAACGGATCTGCTTTCTCCTCTGTCGGGTCACCGGCTTAACAAAATCCGTTTGCTTGCGAAGTTGGAGAAACACTTCGTTCGAAAGGGACTGGCCACAGAGTTAGCAGCGGAGGTGTTTCCGTGTTTTTCCTGACCCGTTTCTGCACACCGCCCTCGCTGTCTTTGAGATTGCCCTTAGGACCTAGAATGCACTTGATTCAAAGAACCTGATGCCTGATGCTGTACGCGCTCTTGGTATCTCTCAGGTGTACTCCCTTGCTCCCTTGTCAAACCGTCAGGTCTCGCGCTCACACTGCTCTGGGCACATCTTGTTCAAGAGCACACCCTGGTTGTAGTAGGCGTCCGCATCCTGAAGGCACGCGGACGTGCGGCACACTGTTGGTTCGACCCCGCGGTGCCAGCCCGCGCGGCGCGGTCTTCACAGAAAAGAGATGGGAGAGCGTGGGAGAGTCTTCATCTTAAGTAAAGCTTAAGCTATATCCGAAACCAGGAGCCCCGTTCCTAGCGTCCTTGCTCCTGGTAGTATGGCCAGGAGCCCCTACTAGCTTCTTTGTTACTATCCGAAACCACACAACTACCAAAACCCTAAACTAATACGGAAAATGGAACGGGAAGACAAAGAGTGGCACTTGTGTGGATTAGTGTAGAAATGTATAGGTCACCTGCAATTCAAAAAAAACACAAAACACATGTCGAGAACTTCCCCATGTCCGGAATACCCGGGGTGACTCAGCAAAAACGTCCTTGCGGGCAAACTCCAAGGATGTTTTCTCAGGGAAGCAGGTGATGAAGCATGTTTAATTTAGAGTACACAACATTATATAGAACGTTCAAAATAAATAATGGTCCCAGTTGCAAACCATAGAAATTCTACACGCTTTGTTGTTTTCTTCAGCTCGTTTCTTTATTCCAAAACAATACAATCAAAAACTCGTGCGCAGTGCATCCACCCCGCCGTGGACCCACTCCAACCTCTTTCGCCCCGAACGTTCCGAGGCTCCTAGTAGCGTCCGATCGCTCCCGTTCGTAGCGATGCCCTTCGTTACTAGTAGCTTCCTTGCTCCTAGCAGTACGGCCAGGAGCCCCGTTCGTAGCGTCCTTGCTCCTAGTAGCGATGCCCTTTGTTACTTGTAGCGTCCCGTTCATAGGGTTCCAAGGCTCGGGAAAGCGGAGGATGCAAAGGATGGACCACATCCGTGCTTCGTCCTCGCGGCTTTCGGCCTCCAGCTTTCGGGTGAGGCCTCAGGGTCGGAGGCGGAGGAGTCGGCCAAGATGGTGGAGGAGTCGGAGGGGTCACTGGCGGCGGGGCCAATTTTGATCCATTTTAGCTGGCAGTGTGGTTGGAGTTCGTTCTGGTGCTGGGGGGAAGGAACATACGGGACATGCCTTTCAATGAGTGAATCCATGTGATGTCTAGAACGTTGCTGAACATTGTGGGAGATCGACTCATGAACCGACACCTCTCAGTCCATTGTCGTTCATAGTTTTGGAAGACTTGGGAGCCACCCAGATCATCACAGGGGTCTCAGGGGTCTTGAGAGGCACCCGTTTCGGTCCTTGTCTGACACAGGTCCAAAGGTCCAAAGCATGGTAGACGTTCAAACAACTCCCACACTCCCACGCCGAGGGGCTATAAGTCTTGCCCTTCCACTCCTTAGGATCCAATCCTGAGGGTGACAGATTTCTCGTGACAAAGCCGTCACGTAGTTTGCCATGTGAGTTCAGATTCACTTGGGGGTCGAGTTTGTTTTCGAGAATCTATGATCAGTGTCGCTCTGACTGAGGCAAGTGCTAAAGCAAGCATCCTAAGACCTAACATCTTGGATCTCCTGTATTGCCACATGCGGAACTCAAAGTGCTACCGCATGCGGAGTTCAAATTGACTTCCTTGAGACCTCAACACTGAACACTCAGAATGTGTCCAACTTGTCCAGAACACCTCCCCTTCAAAGTGCGATTTCATTTTGAACTAGTAGCGATGCCCTTGTTCCTAGTAGCTTCTTGTTCCTAGTAGT